TTTAGAGGGAATAAAAGATGGGGTTTGAGGGGAAGTAAGTTTTCACCAGAACGGCACTCTCCATCAGAAACCCAGCTCGCCTCGGTACGCTTGGTAGGAAACTTGACCCATTACCTTTCTGATGATAATCAGCAGATATGGTGTTCCGTTAACGCTACCTGTCCAGCGTCTCCTTAGTATGGCTGTAGCTCGTCAGAAGTAGTGGCGAGTGAAAGGTGTTATACTCCCATGGAACTCGGAAGAGCTCTGTTGTCAGGATCATCCCCAACAGCACTCCATCAGAACTTTAGCTCTCGTGTAGTTTACAGAACTCCCACAGAACTGGTTGGACTGTGTATCCAGCAGAACTCCAACAGCACTCCATCAGAACTTCAACAGAACCAAGACCCAGTAGACCAGGAAGTACTGACATTTTAAAGAGCTGTTTCCCGGTTCACTTTTGGGAGTATTACCATTGGTCAGAACCGACCAGACGGGGTGTGTGTTGTGACGTAAGAGGTTAGACGAAAAACAAGAATTGTTATGGAAAGATCAGAAATGTTCTCACAGACAGAGAGAGAGTTTTGTTTTGGCGTGTTTCAGAAACAGGTGCAAAACATCTATATTTACGTCTGAGAGGATTCTAAAACATGACAGTTTTAACATAACAACTTGTTTTTCGTTTGACTCCAACCTTGGGAACGCACACACTTGCTCATTCAAAGGCAGAAATCAGAAAATGCATAAACTCTGTAACAGCTTTGACATGAGAATAAAAATCATTACTCAGTTAATAAAATTGATTAGTTCACTGCAACATCTAAAATGGTTTGAACTAAGACACTTTGATTATCAACATTTGAAAAATAGTAATGATAATAAAAAGAGAGTGTTCTTTTCACTTGAATCTTCAAGAAAGAAAGTCTCAGGATGGGTGAACCTGTATTTATGTATTCAAATACATGAAATGACAGTTCCTGTCCCACAAGGTTCTAAAGGTCAAGAGTTTTGACCTTAGACTTAGTTTCGACGTAGGCCTAGTCCACTACAACAGACCATTCCAGAGGTCTGCCAGGTTGCTAACAACAAAAACACCTCAGTACCACCTCAGGTAACAAACCTAATGGTATGAGTCCACATCGTGGCGGGACAAGCTATTAGCCTTAAACAGGCGTACTTTCAACCATCTCCTACGTTTTTCAAACTAGGACTGTCCATTGAGGCCGCAAGCCAAGTGAGCCTCGACTCCAGAACCACATCTGTTGCTGTGTGCAACACAGGCACATAAGAGGTACTGATCCCGAAAAACACAAAGCTAGGATGGTTGATCTCCACATATTTTCATGATTTTGAACTTTGCATTCCATTTCTGGGAGGACTCCCAGACAACCTGGTATCGAGTCAAGAGACTGGTCCAGTATGGTTCACGAAACCAGCACAGGCCATAGCTCTCTTCTCAACCAATGATGTCGATCTAGGACCTCAAACCTATAGTGTCTTACCTATAGACAGGTCTAACGACACAGAAAAGGACTCACTGGAGCTCCTCACACATCAAGAACCCTTAGCAATCTCTTCACAGATTGAACAGGTGGTCACCCAAGCCGACGCCCTGACGACGGATGAAGAAAGGGACAAACTCCGCCAAGTTCTCATGAAATATGAGAAGTCATTCTCGACTGACTCAATGGATTGTGGGTTGACCTCGCTCCACACAGTGAGCATCCCAACTCCGTCCAACTCACCGCCTACATTTGTCAGACAATACAAGATTCCCCTGGCAGCACATCAACCTGTCAAGGAAATCATTGATGACCTTTTAGATAAAGGCATAATCAGACATTGTAATAGCACCTACTCTGCGCCTTTATGGCCAGTTTTGAAACCAAATGGTAAGTGGAGACTTACCATAGACTACAGAAAGCTAAACAAACAAGTTCCTTTATCCAGGTGGCCAATGGCCCAGATCCAACAGGAACTGCCCAAGGTCACCGATGGTAAGTACTTTTCCACCCTCGACGTCGCCTCTGGTTTTTGGACCATTCTTGTGCGCGCTGAGGACCAACACAAACTAGCTTTCACTTTTGGTAGCCGACAATACACCTTCACCAGGTGTCCCTTTGGCTACGCTAACTCACCAGTTGAGTTCAACATCTTTTTGAACAAAGCATGTCCAGACGCCCACGAACGTGGGACACTGATCTACGTGGACGATGTCCTTTTGAGGGAGCAAACACTGGACTTACACTTGGCTGAGATCGACCACGTTCTGAATCAACTGACTACTGCTGGTGCTAAAATCGCACTGTCAAAATGCCAGTGGTGCAGGACCAAGGTGGACTACATTGGCCTACTAGTAGGTCCAAACGGAATACAACCACAATTGACTCGCACCCAAGGCCTGGACAATCTCAAAGTCCCCACCAATCTCAGAGAACTACAAAGTTTTCTGGGCGTGTGTAACTACTCATGCCAATTCATAGAGAACTATGCAGATCTTGCGAAACCACTGACTGAACTCTTAAAGAAAGATGTCCCATTTGTCTGGACTGATACCCAGCAGCAGGCAATGAACGCTCTCAGGGACAGACTCAAGTCAGCCCCATGTCTAGTCTATCCAGACTACAACAAAGAGTTTTACTTGGAAGTGGGATTCTCAGCTCACTGCATAAGTGCAGGTCTGTACCAGATGCACGACAAAGACAAGCGTGTGGTGGCCTACACCAGTAAGACAATGGCAGGCCCCAAATTGAAGTTCTCAGACTGTGAGAAAGCTCTACTGACCACTGTGTGGGCAGTTAAACACTTCTCCAGTTACATCGGTGGACAAAAAATCATGGTTGAAACGCAACACCAGCCGGTAACTTTCCTGAATAGCCAACGCATCAGAGATTGTGTGGTGACAAACTCACGGGTAGCCACGTGGCTCATGGCGCTTCAAAGTT